CCTGGCCTTTGAGAAAATCCTCCAGGCTTCACTGCCCCAGGAACACAGCAGGCCAGTCACCAGTCACGGTGGACTCCTCAGAGCGCAGAAAAATTCAGAAATGCCAACTTAAGTTACCAAGCCCTAGTGGAGTGTTTAATTTAGCATAACAAGTGCACTGGTGGGCAGTCAGGGCATTGATCTAGGAAGAAAACATTGACAGCAAAAACTATAAAGCACTGAAGTATAATCTGTTGAGTCAAAAATACTATTTCAAAACCTTAAAGTGGTTTGATATTTAAGTGAGAGTCAAAGGTCACTTAGTGAATTCTTATCTAAAACATGAAAAGTTTGATGATATATCCCAATAGTGCGGATCAAATTTATCAAAAGCATCTTAAGATAACTTTTTAAAATTTTTACTTTGATTTTAAAAACCTTCTTCACAGCACTTTGCTCAGGAGATGTGGTTGTTGCATAGTTGTCTAAGGAAATTAACTCTGAACGGGGAGGAAGGGATTGGAATTGTTCATCTAGAGCTGATCAGCATGAAGTTAGTAAATAAACACATCCAGGATGGGCCCATTGTATAATTGATGCAAAAGTACTTTGTGAACTATAATGCTCTCTGGCATGTGTCATCATTACAATTACTCTCACAGAACACAAAAATTAGGAAAATGAAAGAGAAAAAGAAACAGTCTGGATAAGTACAGTCTCTCCCATCTACACATTTCATTTAAACCAATGACTCTGTAGGTGAACCTGTGCCACCTCAGGCATTTAGCTTTTGTGAGAAATTGTAGTAAAGATAGACATATCTGGTTATAAATGAAATTATTTACAGTATGATCAGAAAACAATTAATCCAAACAAATGTTCTTTAAAATAATTTGATTTCAGAGCTTTTAAAGTCAGGATCAAACAAGTTGCTACTCTTTACCCAACCACATTCCAACAGAGGACATCTAACTGGAGATCTGCATTAGATATATGTAATTTGATACTGTCGTTAGGACCTTGTTTGAAATGTCTGCGCTTGAGATCAGAAAGTTCCCAGAAATTGAGGAGGTGGAGCTTATTCTCACTGGTTACTGAAAGCGTCAAATCAGGACATCTATTTGTTCAAACATGAAGCTGATAAACTTTGGCTTACAGAAGCGGAAGACAGGCTTAAAGAAACCATAAATCAAGGGTTTTGCACAAAACACTCCACCTATTGTTCTTTTCCGTTTCTGCTCCCTCCTTATAAGATTGGTAAGCATGGCTTATCAAGTCCAATAACAAGTAAACATTACCAATAATTTTCAAAAATTTAACACAAACATGTTCCATTTCATATTTTTATTTACCCTCTTATTGTGATAGCTTTTTCTGGTAAATTAACTAATCTAGGAAAACCAGATCTCTTTTTGGTAACTAAATAGATAATAAAGCTGGGATTGGTAAAGCTGTCCCAGAGTGGCTCTTAATTTGCAAGTCTTAAACACAGAAGCAGACATGCTTGGTAACTCAAAGCATGGGATTTAACGTCATTAAAGATTGTGCCATTCACAGGCATACCTATTCAGCTGAGGGAAGGAAAAGGAGAGAATAAGCTAAAAGAAGACGCTGAAAAAACTGGATAATATAGAAGAGTTCATTACAGAGCTGGTCAATTTGGAATCTCTGCCTCAAATGTGGCTGGCAGTCACTGATTTGAGAAAACTACCTACAAAGATTGGTAAGCAAGGCTCGACACACTTTTTGTTTTGTTCTGTTTTTGTTTTTGACACTAAGTTTTAAGAGTTTTCAACCCTTACAAAGTTAAGCAGGTAGTTCTAGTCATTAAGTAATTTAACCACAACCAAATATTAAGATTTTTTTTACTGATATTAAGAATGAATAATAGGTCATTTAAATTTGCTAAGTTTAAATTTTTGCTTTCCCAAATAAGTGGATTTCAATCTCAAAGAGAACAAGCAGACATTTAAATTGAAGGCAGTTAGTAGAGAGGCTTTTCAAATGTAGATGATTCATTGATCGAATTCAAATATAAACTCTCTGGATTTGTTTCCAACTTTAGAGTTTTACGGCTTTTAACATCCTAATGGGAATGTGGAGTCTTATTTATATGCACCCCCAAACATATTTACATTAATAATTCCAGGTAAAAGTCTGTCTCACTCTCTATGGTCACAAACCATTCAGAAACCGGAATTAGACTCTGGACACCCATCTGTGGTGTCACTGGAACAAAGCCTGATCCCTGACAGGAAGGCCAGAGATGAGGGCTGCAGCATCTCGATGTGACTGGTGGCAGGTGTGCACATTACCTCTCCCGCTCCTGCTCCAGCAGGTTGGTGAAGTCGTCACTCTTGTTCATGTAGTCAGTGTGTTTGTGCTTCTCGTTCTCTAACTCGTACACTGTGCGCCTGTGACACTTCTCTGCCAGCAGCAGTTGCTCTAGCATGCGCCGGTAAGTTTCTTTCTGTTTTTCCTCGAGTCTGTCCAGCTGAGTAAGCAAACATGGGAAA